CCTTGAAAAAGAGATCAATGATCTCAATGGGATTCACCTGCATAAATAAAGGTTTAAAATGAAATGAAATGAACCAAGGCACAATCTTGGTCAAGGCATTTATGTAGAGTAGGAATTCGCCCTCTCTTATTGATCGCACATAGATCATCAACTCTATTTCCAGCTGCAGGATGATAGACCAGAAGTGGAACTGGGAACATGACACTGCTCTTGTCCACCCGCTACCCCTCCAGGAGGTCGCCAAGTACCTTGAGTGCTGCCATCTCAATGTGAAACCCAACAAACATCACAATAAAATGATCTTCACTGTGAGTTGCTGGCCAGCTCCACTGGGTTTGTTTTGCCACAGCGTATAGAGGTTGATCCAGAGTGATCTGACCAGGATTCAGAATCTCAAATGCCTGACTTACCTCATCGATGGAATGACGAATCATGGCCACATATTTGGCCTGGTCGTAGAAGCTGGGAAGTACACAAGCAGCATCGATTCAGCACACAAAGAGAGCTGCCTTCCAAGCTGGTCACTGCTGGGGACAGGTGATGTTTGCAGCCCCTGAACTCCCATCCCCAGGTGACTGGGGGTGGAAGAGGAAGGCCACAGGTGGATGGGAAGTTTACTGGACCACATTACCAGGCCTGTTGTGAACTCCTCCGCTGTGGATGCAAAAAGGGGTGCAGTGGACAATGCAAATGTGTCAAGGCAGCAATTCAGTGCAGTGCCCTTTGCCACTGTGGTGGACTGTGTTTTCAGAACTAAGTCTGCATTTAGTTGAAAACCTAATATTTCATATATATTATGTAACATGTATGACTTCACCATAATAAATATGTTAATGGTTTACTGTGTATTTTGTTCCCTGAATACCAAATACATATAGTTAGCTACATTCTAGCATGTTGTAAATAGTACCAATGCATTCTCCATCCTTGAAAATGTAGGATTAGCCACCAGAATCAAGATCCTAGGTGGTCTAGATCCTAAACTACTGGTAAAATAACAACCAATGTGGCCGCCATTGGCGCCATTGGACAAATTTGCGATGGCCCTATAGCCAAAAATCTTCCTTAGGGCATGCTCTAACAGTGTGCCAAATGTCATGCTTTTATCAACAAAAGCACAATTCTTTCAGATATTTCACATATCTGCTGGACTATTATGTGTTCTCCCGCCTTCATCAGCGTCAGCCCCGCCCCTGATTGTTTCACCTGTGTCTCGTTGTTGACTGTTTAAATTCCCCAGTCTCCCAGTGTTCAGTGTCAGTTCGTCTTGTCCTTTCCTTATGTCAGAACTCTGCTCGTCAGTATTTGTTTCTCTTGACACTTACCTTGATTCATGCTCCTGAAAACTTTTTGTAAGTTTTGTTCCTCACGTTGTGAGCGTTTTTTGTTGAGCCTTATTGAAGTTCTTAATTTTTTGTCACCTCGCAAAGAGTGTTTTTTCTTTTTGTATATCCTTTTGGCAAATAAAGTATATTACTTATACTTTATCTCTGGCTCCCGGGTCGTGCATTTGAGTCCTTTCTTCCTTGTGTATCTAAGTTCGTAACACAATATGAATATTCATTCGGATTGTCACCAAAATAAATAAATCAGTGGTTCTAAAAAGTTACAAAATACACATAGGCTTGGCAGTTTTTCAGTGTGCTTGTTCCGGGGACAGTGGACACCCCCTTGATGAGAAACTGTTAGAAATGATCTGGGAATCCCTCCGGAGTGGAGTTATGACTGGGGGTGTCAACAGAGAACCGCACATTTTCTCGTTAAGTTTGTTTTTTATAAATCGCAAAGATTGCTTAGAAATTGCTGTATGCCATCTTTTGAGCTTTACATTTTCACTCGTTACATGGTCTGAATGTCATTCTCTCCTCTAATGGTGAAAGATTTGACCTCTGTTTCCCCCCTCCCTCTATCCCCATCTCTATCCACCCCGTCCATGCAGGAGGGCCAGCAGCTGATCCAGGAGAAGCCGGAGCTCAGCCAGGTGGTGCGGATGAAGCTGGAGGAGATCAGGGAGTGCTGGCAGGAGCTGGAGAGCACCACCCAGGCCAAAGCCCGGCAGCTCTTTGAGTCCAACAAGGCCGACCTGCTGGTGCAGAGCTACGAGAGCATGGACCAGAAGCTGGGCCAGCTGGAGGTCCAGCTAGCCTACGTTGACCAGGGACAGGACCTCACCACTGTCAACAAGCAGCTCAAGAAACTACACGTACGTAGGATTACGAAACATTAAAGTCTATTTCACTCCATTTGAAACCAGAGACTATCTGGTATAAATCCTTTACCTCTAACCTCTAATTTACTAGAAGAGGTCTATAAGCCCAGTATGCAATTGGTAAATAAGGAAACAACAACCAACATTTTATAAAGTTTTAGATTTGTTTACTGGAAACATCATTTTTTGTATCCTAATTAGTCAGCTCCAGGCCACAGATTTTAACATTACAAAGACATTTTCTCCCAGAAAAACCTTAACATTTAAGAACATGTTTTGTGATACCAAATAGAAGTACATGATTGCATTTATTTAAGGTTTTAACATTATTTTTTGGAAAAGATGAACAATGTAAATGTTAACAATGCTCGGTTCTCCTCTGGATTGTTTTTTGGTTGTAGGATATTTTCACATTTTGTAACAAGAAGCCCATGAGACAATAAGTGTTTCTATTTTCTTTATGAATTACTGAAGCTTTTTTCCGGCCCGTACTCTCAAGCACATGAGTTTAAAATGTTCCAAACATTCTAAAACATTAAACTCCAAACTATTCCAAACACTCAATTGTAAATAAGACTCCATATCTCTGCCTCTTTGCTCTACACAGAACTGTCTCACAATGACTCACTGTTCCTGCTATTATCTGCACACAGTGATGGTCTCATCTCATTCATATTTCAACAAAACATCATGTTTGGAAATGACTAACAGCACAATTTCTCACTGTTTGCCTGCAATATTTTCCATTCAGCTTTTCATCTCATTTCAGCAAAGTCAGGCTCTTTTCATTTCACGCCAACATACATTTTTAATTTCTGTTTTTTAAGTCTATAAGTATCAGCCATTTATGCCAACCCATTGAGCTTTCATAACAGTTTCATACCAACATTATACATTTCAAATTCTACATTAGAGTGCATTTCTACACATTTAATCAGTGGGAAATGTTAGTTTTTTTAGTATGCTAACAAGACACCAAATGTATCATAAATGTTGTTTAACCAACAGTTTACATTTTCAATAAAAAAGCCTCCTTTTTTATTACAAAATAAAGAATCTTACATTATCAGTTTTTAATGAATGACTCACCTTTGAAAGGTTTTACATTATCTTTTAAACTTTATTTCAATAAGTGAGGACATGTTATTACATTATTTGTCAAGTTAGTGCATAATTGGGTTTTATGACCTTTTCAATCGGGTTAAGTGCAAATACTAATACTTTTCCAGGACTTGTGTAACATTATTAGGTACTACATACACTTTACCTGACGATGAGGCATAATGATTACCGGTATTTGTTATGTTTAATTTCATGGTAGCACAAAGTTGTTTGCTTCTGTACGTGTGATTGTGGAATAAACAATATAGTTTAGAAGAATCGGATTGTTTGACGCAGCAGACAGCGAGCAGGTGTGACCCGGGTTGACGCACAGACTCATCCTCTCATCACTTCATCATTTCACGGGACATTTTTCACTCTCCTCTCCCACAGCATTCAGCTTACAGCTTCCTTTAACAAGCCCCCATTAGCACTGCTTTACCACATCATCAAAACTCCACTACCCAGCATCCATCCTGGCAAGGGGTACAGTAAACTTCACTACACTTCATGTCTGTCAGTTATTCTTTCGCTGCCCTGGGTTATTTTCATCTCATCTTTGCATTCATTCTTTCATCTTTATTCTTTATGACATTTCATTATTTCTGTTGTGATCCTTCCACCGTTTTTAGTTTCATGCTATAATTTCAGGCATATATATCTCTTCACTGCAGGCAGAGAGTCAAAAGAATGATAGACTTATCATTTTTGCATTTCTTTCACATTCCTCACATCCACTCTTTATATCTGTCTTCTGGATCCCATGACAACAAGTCTACCTCCATCCATCCCTCCTAATCACACATTCTCTTTTCCTCAGTCCGTCTTTATAACTTCTGCTGTGCTGCCATCCTGTTCCTTCTCTTCCTGTCCCCCCCTCAGACGATGGAGAGCCAGATGGAGGAGTGGTATAAGGAGGTGGGGCAGCTCCAGGCGCAGGTGGCCTCCATCCCACAGCAGACAAAGATCAAGGAGACGGTTGCAGAGCGACAAGCAGTGGTGGAGGCCAGGATGGTGCGACTGATCGAGCCGCTGAAGGAGAGGCGGCGGATCCTGCTGGCCTCCAAAGAAGTTCACCAAGTGGGACGAGACCTGGACGATGAGATCGTGAGTCTGACAGCCGTCACAAACACAATCACTTATTTCCATCATTTAGAGACATTTTACTGAGTTTTAAACACAAAAGACATTTAAAAATTATAAAAGGAAATGTTTACAAGAAATGTAAATGTAAAATAAGGAAATACATAAAAAACAGACAATTTAGTGCCTAGGCAGCAACTAGATTAGCTCATTTGAAATGCAAAAGTATGTATCAATCTTTGCGCAACCAAAACAGGAAGAGGAGTGCTTTTGTGTTTTGTAATGGCTCTGCTCCACTCAAGATGCAGCTTGAAACTACTTTGTCACTGTGACACTGTGAATCCTTTCATCTGCAAACAAACATAGAACCGTCTTGCCTGAGTTAATAAGAAATAGTGCAATCTAAATTGATGGTAGTTTGCTGTTTGAAAAGGTCTGGATAGTACAGGATGGCGGATCAGTGACAAATCCCTCTGTCCAATCAATGGTCTGCACTGAATGGTCAAATAGCTTGGACCTATCACTTAGAATGTCCAATAAGATGGTACCAAATAATATCAGGTACCATCCACTGCATATTGGCAACAAAGGGAGTCAAGTCCCCACAATGTGAATGCTATAACTATAAAACCTACAAAACTCTAGCTTCATTGACACAAGATTATTCTACAAAAACTAACATGAATTCAATAGTAATGGCAAACTGTTAGAGCACTATATAATACAAAACTATTCAAATTGAATGTAAAAATAAATCACACATTTTGTGCACGTCTTAAATGTTTTTCAATACATTTTGATGATAGATATCTTCATATCTAATTATGATGTAGATATCTCTATAGTACATCATTATTAGATTCACCAACAACAAACATTAACTGCTGAGTGTGGTATTGTTGTGGTTTCAGTTGTGGGTCCAGGAGCGCCTACCGATGGCCATGTCTCAGGAGCACGGCTCCTCTCTGCAGGCGGTGCAGCAGCTCATGAAGAAGAACCAGGTGAGGAAATCAAGAGCTGGTAATTCTAAAGGTAGCCTTAACCTAATACATAACTGGAGCCTGACTCCTGTGACCACTCTAATGTCAACTTATTGTGGTCCAAATCTGGATGGCAAAAATTAGATATAAAACATGATATGCAAACCTTAGTCCTAATTCCTCTCCCTTGACACCTACTCACCTACCTTATGTACCTTACTTAATGTACTACTACTGTATATTTCAATCGTATTATTGTTGTTCTGTTTTAAACCACGTTAAAAATACCTCACCAGTCACCTCTCCTTTCCTGTCCTGAACCTGTGCCTCTCCTCCAGACTCTTCAGAGGGAGCTGCAGGGCCACAGGAGCAGGATCGATGATGTCCTGGAGAGGGCGGGGATCATCGCCTCCATCCGCAGCCCCGAGGCGGACAGCGCCCGGGCGGGCCACGAGCAGCTGGCCGGGCTGTGGGCTCTGCTGTGGCACGAGACGGAGAGGAGGCAGCTGGTGCTGGACGCCATGTACCAGGCCCAGCAGTACTACTTCGACACGGCTGAGGTGGAGGCCTGGCTGAGCGAGCAGGAGTTGCACATGATGAACGAGGAGAAGGGGAAGGTGTGTGCGCCATTGAATAAACTGCTGATTATCTGGTTCAAATTCACGGCATGTAGTCTGTTATCAACAGGAAAGGATTTCATTATTTAGTCATTATTACTACCCTGATTGCACAAGCCTCTACGATGGCGGCCAAACCTCTGCTAAACTCACCAAGGTGTAGACACAATCAATCCAAAATCATGGATACATCTTTAATACATCTCTTTCATGGACCTTAATCTAGACATTAGTCCTTCCCCTTCATGTAGACAGTTACACAGGATGGAAATGAACACTTGCCCTATCCGAGTATATTTAGTCAGAGTAAATTATGTAAACCTCTTGCCACTCCGGACAGACGTATGCATTTCCCCCATACTGGTTAAAGCTGCTGGCTTGCTGTCCTTATAATTAGCTGGATCTGTCTTGCTTCATAATAATGGGTAGTACCTATAAGAGTGGGCAATGTGACTTAAGATATGTTATTAAATACATGGAGCAAAGTCGTTGAACAGCAAAGCAGAGGGGCCGCGGTGGAGACAGGGAGGAGACTATAGTTTATTTTTCCAACATTACTGTTGCTGCTTTCGAAACAACATTACGATATTTCTATGGAATTATATACATAAAAATGTAAAAAGGCAATTAATTTGGTTTGACTGGTAAACAATCTGGCTTTAAATCAACCAGCCACATTTAACAGGAAGCCAAAAGTACATTTTGGACACTTATTTATAGAGGCAGAATTGAGCATTTGTGCTGTGTGTTTTATTTTTAAAAAGGAAACTCTGCCTTGTGTGTTGTTTCCTCCTCCCTCAGGACGAGCCGAGCACGCTGCAGCTGCTGAGAAACACCTGGTCCTGGAGCAGACCATCGAGTGAACTACGCTGAGACCATCGGCCTGCTTCACAGCAGTGTCGAAGCTGCTGGAGAGGCGCATCCAGACTAGTGAGCCTTAAAACACACACTGTTTGTTTTCTGTTAGTTTCCAAGTCAACACGAGAACCGTGAAAAATAAAGACCAGGCGATATCCCTCTCTTTATGAAAGTTGCCTGTGAGACTAAACCAGGGATTTTCTTAGCCCTTTCTCCTCATTAGTTTATAATTCTATAAAAGCCTCTATGAAAATAATCCCATGCAGTTCAACATCATATAATGAGAGAGAGTCTTGTTCCAATTCAAATCCCACGGTCATGAAAATGCTTTGCTCGAAGAAATGTTTAAAACCACGTTTAAAAAACGATTATGTGGTCTTGTTTTGGAAGCTATAGCTGCCTGATTGTAGCTATTAGCGCAATGGTCACTCATATCATTTCGAAAAATACCATATCCAAAAACGTATGAGGCGCATTTGTATAAAATAATGTCGCATAAGGAACAATTTATCTTGGTGTTTAAGATTTAGGGACGAGTTGAGTTAGGAGCTATTGATTAAATTGTATACGTTTAAAAGAGCACAGGTTGATTTAAAACTATCGGAACAGAGAGACAACCGTCCCAGTTAAAGTCTCCAGCAATTTAAATCTCATTTAAATCCAAGCAAGATAACTGATGACTCAGCGATG